AGTTCAAGGGTATTCTGTTAACTCTCAGAATTACCGGATATTGCAAAATTGGAGTCTAGAAGTCATTTTTTAAAGCTCATAAAATCTTATTAGGTTTATTTAATCCTAGGTTTCGGTTCTGTGAGTTCAGTCAAGCTAGTTTTGGTTGTTTGTTAATCTCTAAGCATGTTGCCCACATGCACACTGGAGCCTTTGCATAAGCATTTATATGAATATGCTTTGATATAGAGCCAAAGAAAGTGGAGGCAAATGTAATTTTGGTTGTAGAAAGAAAAAGATACTTTTTCAACCCAAATTACCCTTCAGAGAAAGAGTCATATCTAATATATATTAATTGCTTGTACATATAAATGGTAACTTCCAATATGCTACTTGATTGGATTTTAAACACTAACTATTCACCACAGGCATTTCTTTTTTTATTTGCAAATTTAGTGCTGGACAGAAAACAAAGCAATTAAGAAATCAAAGTAAAGAAAATCTGAAAAATATTTGGACACATGATCTGGAAAATTTTAATCCGTCCCTACTCAAGTCCAGAATTTACAATTGTATTTCTAAATTGCTGGTATTGAATTTATAAATACAAAAAAATGAAGCTTCTTCTCCCATGGCTGCAAGGTTCTCTCCTAGTCAAGAATTTGGAGAATTTTATGAGATGTTCATATCATTTCTTGAGTGTTTTGTTTGAGATTAGCTTTTCCACATCATAACCACCACTCACCAAATCAAGAGAAAGCAGTGATTAACATTTTCGAATTTGAAAACCCTCAACAAGAAAACAAAAAGAAAAGAAGATCAAGCATCATTAATCCAGAACTGTCCACACTCTTTTGCTTAAGATCTTGACAGGTATATTTCTTAGAAATTAACTAATTAAAAATTACGTACCGGAGAACCAGTGCTATTGTCAATTTCAATCTCTGATGTCCCTAGGAGCAACCAGTTTGTCTCCTGCTTGGCAAATATAAAACTTACTACATTTTCAAAGAGGCATTCTAGAAAACATAAGCAACAATTTTTGGGCAAAACATAAACCAAATAAGCTGACCCTACCCAAAGCATTTGCCAACTTTGGTTTTATGTTTAAGCCTCCTTTTCTTTAAAACTAGCAAACAAGAAAGCGGCCAACCTGAGGATGAGTAGCAGAAACTGAAGTAGAACCCTGCCCAACATCCTTAACATCTTGGTTGGATTTTGTCTCCTGCATGCAATGAAAGCATTGATGCCTAACCTTCCACAATGGAAACAGCATACTTATACATATATTAAACCACAGATGATCTTAAAGCATATACTCAAGACAGATTCTGCAGTTGATAAAAAAAAAAATATAGCTCTTAAGGCATCGTTGTTCCTTGGCATTGTCCTAAAAGTAGCAGAACTTATATTAGCGACCTCTACTGCTGAAGGAACACAAACCTTGTCAATGGGAAAAGTGTAGGATAATACTAAATAGATGTTTGTTCATGATCAATATTGGAGAAAGTAGACCATAATCACTGAAACAAAAGCAGATGATTGGAAAACCACACTAACATATTCTTTGCTTAGGCTCAAACCTGATCTCATAGAGTTCAAACCAGCAAGAGTCTATTAAATTACAATCAGGTGAAATTAAATACATAGTAGCAAATGAAACTATATAGTTCAGGGGAGTTCTTAACAATCTGCATCAAATGGCTTTAGCACCTACTGCAATCCTTCAAGACAATATGACCATAGTCCATGAGTACTGCCCCATTGCTTTACGCAAAATCAAAGCAAATTTATCTGTACCATCATTTCATTAGAGATGTGATTTGATAGGAAGTGGCTTCACTTGTTTCACCAAAAATAACTATCTTCAAGTTGTTGCTCTCACAAAAGTTCTGTATTTTCAGAAGCTTGAGAAATTCAAGATTTTGAAAATAACAAATTGAAAACAGAGAGTTGAGAAGTAGGACCAGTTCTGGCCCTTGCGGCAGGCAGGTAACTGCATGGAAAGGGTCAGTTCTCATCCTTGCTGGCTTGGGCTAGGCTTGATGGTGGCCCCTGGCTCAATGGCACTGGATTTTGCCACAGACAAGGTGGGAGGAAAGAGAAAAAAAAAAAGCAAAAAATGTAAAGAGAGAGAGAAAAAAAGAAAAGGAAACACAATTGGGCTTATTTGCTTTGAAAATGAAAAACAGAGAATTTCTTCCCCCATTTGTTCACTTTTTTATCCCTAACATTTTAAAATCAACATCCACAACTTAAAATTCCACGTAGGTCTTGACATTAGAACAGTAACACATGGAAGCTGACATGTAAATTCCGTTAGTTTTAATGAACCAAACAAATAGAAGGATCACATTGCTACCATTTTAAACCAGTAAACAAGTAAATAACCAACTTTCACAGCAAGAAGATAAAACCTAACATTTAGAAACTCCCAGACTAATCTAAACTCAACAAACTTCAATATTTATGCACATGAACTGAAGATTTAAAATCTGTCCCAGTATACCAGAATTTAGAATTAAAATCCCAAATTGCTATTAGAAAACTTATAAATAAGAAAGCAATGAAGCTTCTTCTTCCATGTCTGCAACCTTTCTCATAGGTTGTACCATTCCTAATTATTACTCACCATATCAACAGAAAGCAGTAATTAGCATTTTCAATTTGAAAACCCTCAACTGAACCTATCAAAAAATAAATATAAAGCATAATTAATGCAGAATTATCCATGTTATTTTATATAAGATCTTTGTAGGTCTATTTCTTCAAAATTAACAAATTGAAAAGCACTTACTGGAGAACCAGAGGCACTGGCAGAAGTAGAAGCAGTGCCATTGTCAATTTCAATCTCTGAAGAACCTTGCAGCAATTGATTTGTCTCCTGTTTAAAAAGTATAAAAGTTAATAAGTTTCAGATATGCTTTTTAGAAAAGAGAAGCAAGAACCTTTTGGCAAAACACGCATCCCACAACAGACCCTAATTCAAAGATGTTTCCATCAACTATATCATGATCTAGAAAACTATTTTTCTCCACAAGTAGCAAATAAGATGATGGCTAACCTGAGAAGTAGAGGCAGAAACAGAAGTTGAACCTTGTGCAACGTCATTCTTAACATCTAGGTTGCATCTTGTCTCCTGCTTGCAATAAAAGCATTAATACTTAACCTTCTACATACGAAACAGCATATTTATCCTCATTTTAAAACTGACACAATCATGATGCATATCTTCGACACAGATTCCTTAACTGATCATGAATATAACCCCCAAGAATTGTTGTCACTTAGGCATTGTGCTAAACGTAACCTAGCAGCTACTTGCAACCTCAACTGCTGAGTGAGCACAAACCCTGAAGGGATTGTCATTACGAGGAATTTTAGGATAAAGCTTAAATTTAAATGTTTATGATTAATATAGGTGAAAGTAGACCACATTCACTTAAAATAAAAGTAGATGGTTGGAAGACCAGACCATGATATATTATTTTGCTTAGGCTCAAATCTAATCTCCTGAAGACAAGGAAGAAAGAGTCTGCTGCGTTACCATCAGATGAAGTTAAAAACATAGAAGCAAATGAGACCATTTTTTTTTCTTAAGGCAAGAAATGTATATTCATAAACCAAAATAAACAAACATGCTGCAAAAAGTCCTTGGTCAAGGAAAGATGAAGACTTGTGACAGCAAAGAGCAATTCACAGAAAGCTCAGGAAAATCAAAAATACATGAACCAACCATAAACTGGATTCCCACCAATCTGGAAACGTAACAAAGAGGAGCAAAAAACAAAACACACACTGCCTTCCCTGAGACCATACACAAAACCTACCCTTTCCATCATCAAGAAGCAAATCAGCACAAATCAGAGCACCAACCACGCCAGTCAAAAGAGCCAGAGAAGACTCAAAAGACAACCACAACTCCACATCAAACGAGATGAATTCAGCAAAAATGACTCAGCAGGAGAAATCAAAAAGCAAGCGCAAACATCCACCCAACTCAAAACAGGATCACAAGAAATCTCACCAGAACACCAAGAAAATGAAAACAGATCAAAAGGTGACACACCTCAAACAGCCCAAGAGAAAAAGAAACGGAAGCAGGACCAAAGACAGAAGTCACCCATTAAGAAATTTCATCAATGTGATTGATCATCAGCATATCAATCTCTCCTTCAACCCCTGCCTTGGCAAGAGAATCCGCAACATTATTTACCAATCTAGGGATATGTTGAATATGCCATTCTTAAAGCTTACCAATCAGGTTCATGATGTGAAGAATATGTTTCCTATGTTTCCATGGTGCAGTATCAGGTTGCTCAACCCACTTGATAGCCGTAACGGAGTCACTTTCTAAGACAAGGTGATGATCGACCCACCTAGAGGCTACGAAGATGAGAAGAGCTTCCTTGATATCCAAAAGTTCAGCTCTGTAAGCATCACCCATACCAATGGCTTTGGAAGAGGAAATAAGAATGTTACCTTGACAATATGGTTAAGGAGAACTCTTAATGATGCTCTAAAGGTTTTGGAACCTACTTCAATCCTTCATGGTCATATGACAATGAAAAATAACTCTAATGTTTTACGTAAGATCAAAGCAAGTTAAGTTGTGCTATCAATTCATTCAAGATATGATTAATAAGAAGCTTTTTTTATTACCTTTTAGCTGTTGCTCTCACCAACCTGTAAAATTTGAGAAGCACTTGAGAAATTCAAGGAGATTTTGAAAGCAAGACAAATCAGTAACCATCTAGCACTTTTAGTATTTTATAGGTCATGCAGCATGAGGCCACATCCAGCCTTGCCTGGTGCCAATCTGGCTTGCCAAGGCTGGATCTGCCCCTGCTATGTCGCCTATGTTGGCCCTACCACACCAACAAGGACCAGTTCTGGCTCTTGTAAGGGTCAGTTCTCGTCCTTTCTTGCTTTGCTAGGCTCGAGGAGACCCCTACCTCAACAGCAGTGGGTTTTGAGACCAAAAAGGTGGGAGGAGGGAGGTAAAGAAAGAGAGAAAGAGAAGAAAGGACAAAACAATGTAGAGAGAAAAATAAAGGAAAAACAAAATTATGCTTATTTGCTTTGAAAATGAAAAACAAAGAAATTTTTCCTTCATTTTTCTCACTTCTTTTTATCTCTGATATTTTTTTATATCAGTATCCAGAAGTTAAAGTTCCATATAGGTCTTGGCATTTGAACAGTGCCGCATGGATGTTGACATGCAGCAATAACATGTAAATTCAGTTGGTTTTTTTTCTTTTTTTTTTTCTGAAATTTGTAAATTCAGTTAGTTTTAATGAACCAAATTAATAGAAGGATCACATTGCTACCATTTTAAAAAGATTAGAGATTCGCATGTTGGAACCAGAATAGAACCCAAATAAAAGGTTTGGACTGCAGGTAAAGATTACCTGATAACATTAGAAAACAAGTAAATAACCAACTTTGACTGCAAGAAGATAAAACCTAACATCTAGAAACTAAAGGACTAATTTAAACTCAACAAACTTTAATATTTAGGATATGAACTGGAGATTTAAAGCCTGCCTCAGTATATAAAAAGTGGCCAGAATTTACAATTAAAATCCCAAATTGCTTACAGGACCTATAAGAAAGCAATAAAGCTTCGTCTTCAACATCTGCAACCTTCTACCCTGGTTGGAAAAACCTTGACCTCAAGGTTTAAAGTGTTGAAGCGGAAGAACCATCAATGCTGAGCTTTTTGATTGTGAAAAACACAATAATTTAGGAACTTGAACATTTCTTTGGAGCACAAGATTGATGTGAAGCATATTTCCATTCCTTCCCACCAAATTTGCTAGGAATAACGAAGGCTGTTACTAGGAATCCTAGGTCTGGCTTGTACAGAGGTTGACTCTTCTCAATCAAAGCAACTATAGAAACAAGTCTAGTTTGGAAAAGTGAGAAGAACACAGCAAACAAAGAATCATCACATTTCTAATAGGTTGCACCATCCCTAATCATTCCTCACCAAATCAATGGAAAGCAATAATTTGAAAACCCTCAACTCAAACAAACAAAAAATAAAAATAAAGCATATTTAATGCAGAATTTTACACATTTTTTATATATGATCTTTATAGGTCTATTGCATCAAAATTAACAAATTGAAAAACACATACTGCAGAACCAGAGGCACTGACAAAACTAGAAGCGGTTCCATTGTCAATTTAGTCTCTGATGACCCTTGGAGCAATAGATTTGTCTCCTTCTTGTACATTAAAGGTAATAAATTTTCAAACATGCATCCTAGAAAAGATAAGCAAGAATTTATTGGCAAAACACCTATCCTATAGCAGACCCTAACTCAAATAATTTGCCATCATCTATTTCATGATCTTCAAAACTAGTTTTCTCCACAAGTAACAAACTAGATAGTGGAAAAACTGAGTAAACTAGAGAGTGACAACCTGTGAAGTAGAGGCAGAAACTGAAGTTGAACCGTGTCCAACATCATTCTTAACATCTAGGTTGGATCTTGTCTCCTGCATGCAATAAAAGCATTGATACTCAACCTTCCACATTAGAAACAGCATATTTATCCTCATATTAAACCAGACACAATCATGATGCATATCTTCAACACAGATTCCTTAGTTGAGGTTGCTGGTAGAAGCTATGATTTTGACAAACACTCCATGATTTTGACCTCAAATTGAGTATTTAGTTTTTTAAAAATTATTAATTTTATTATATTTTATAGTAAAATTTGAAAAATGTAATATTAAAAATATTTAAAATATCTAAAATAATTTTTTTAAAAAATCTAGATAAGGTTATGTTTTTCTATTATTCCATTGAGTCTTTAAAGAAGTATTTATATTTAACTAAGCCTCATCTTTGTTATATTAATGTCTTTGTGGCCATTATCTTTACCACATCAACCTCGATATGGAATATACATAAAAAAAATAAGGGTTGTATAAACGTTGATGTGGTATGTCATGTTAGTCAATGCCATAAATCATGTAACCCTCAACTCAACATGCATGTGACTTTTCACATTTTGTCATGTGAACAATAATATGGCAAGCCACATTGATGTTGATGAGATAAAGTTAATGGATTTTTAACTATATCTGTCCAAAATAAGGATTAATTAAACAGAATTAATACTTTAGAGGATCGATTATAGAAAAACAAATGCTAATGTATCAAATTTGAAAAATTACGAAGGCAGGTTTAGTATTTTAGCTAATTTTAAAAGATGTTCTATGCTTTTTTTTTTTTTTGGATAAAAATTTATCTTTGATAACTTTAGCAATGTTCATACAAAGTGGGGCCTTTTGATCAACAATTATAACCCGCAAAAAGACTGCCCCCCTGTTTGGTGCTTACCCCATGAAAATAGCCTCATTAAAAAAACTTATCATCATAAAACCCTGTAGGAAAAATTGATTATAAGAAAAAAGAGCACTCATTTAGCATGCGATGTTACACACTTGTTTACAAATCAGATTACCCTGCATTACCTATAAATTTATTTTTGTCACAGGCAAGTGCATGTTGGATAGGTGTTGGCAGCTCTTCTGACTTTCTCCACTCCATTCCTTTCGCAATCTGGGCAATAGAATGTGCCACCGTATTGTTCACTCTCGAACTAAATCCAATTGATTGGCATCTAATTCTTTCCATCAACAACACACAGTTGTCGATTAGATGGCCTAATGTTCCACTTAGTTTCCTCATCTTTATCCACCCTGCTATCAATTGGTTGTCCACAATAAATCTGCAACCTGAATATTTTCTTTTTCACAGCAAGTTCATGCCCAAACCAGGGACAGCAGCTCAGCTTCTTCCACTTTTAATACTACCTGTAATTTATTTGCTGTTGCAAAAATAAAGCCACCATCCACGCCTCTGATTACAAACCCCGCTCCCACTCTGTCTGTTCCAGCAACCTTGTCCAACGCAGCATCAACGTGCACAGAGTTTCCTCTGGGCTTGAAGCACCTTGTATTATTTTCCCCGATCCCTTCATCCGTCCAAACATTAGTGGAAGCAGAGCGGTAATTATCCTTCAAGTCGTGGCCAAGTTGAGGAACTTGTACAGGGTGTCCATAAGTTGGTTCTTAAAAATCCTTAGGTTCCTTGCTTTCCAGATTGTGCTCCATTTATTCCAAGCCCTCCTGGCTAATGCTGCCTCCTAATGGAATGAGCTAGTCCAAAACCGAATGAAAGTGTGATTCAGCATCTCTAAATCCCCACGTGGAAATCAATCAGATTGCTCTCGTAAACTGACAACAGCATAGGATATGGAATGCATTTTTCTCTGTTACATGGCAGAACTCACATTTTTTATCAACACTAACCTTTCCCTAGTTTAAAGCTTGTCTTGTAGGAAAGGCTCCTTTCACAGCTTTCCATACAAAGAAAATAATTTTTCTCGAAATATTTAATCACCAAAGCTTGTTCCAAAAATCATCACAATTACCATTCGAAGTACCCGATTCTGAATAAACCAGTGTCAACACCAACAAGCGGTATCCAGATTTAACAGTATACTCACCATGTTTATTATCACCCAATACTTATCTATCCGGTGGAAACCTCCAGCTAAGTGGAATTGATAGAATTAGGTTGCTCTCATATGAGGGAAAACAGCTTGTTACTTTCTCGACATCCCACATTGCCCTCTCCTCATCTATAAATTGTGACACCATCGTTGAAGCATTAACATTTCCCTCGTAAGCCATTGCAGACCTTGGAGTATCAGTTGGTACCCGCAAGTCCTCCAAAGCCCTTATATCTTTACCGTTGCCAACTCTCCATATCAAACCTTTTTCCAAGACAACTCGACTTTCTCTAATGCTCTTCCATAGATAGCATGCGTTGGGTCCTGTCGGCGCTTCCATAAAACTAACTCTTGGAAAGTATCTTGCCTTTAGTATCTTATACGCAAGAGTTGGTTGTTACATTTGCAATCGCCAAAGTTGTTTGGCTAACATTACTAGATTGAAGATACTCATGTCAAGAAATCCTAGACCAACAACAAATTTCGATAAGCACATCGACCTCCAACTCTTCCAATGAATTCTATGCTTTTTAATACCAAAAAATTAAGAAAAGCATGAAAAGTAAATATAAAATATTAAAAAGTAAAACTGTTAAGTGTTAAAAAATTACATAATTTTAACAAATAAATAAATAAATGAGACAAAAAAAATAAAGGATTAGGATGAAATTTAATGCCCAAGTATTGCAAGTATTTTGCCATTCTTGTCTTTTTATAAAAACAATGATAAAACAAAACATGTTTAGAAACTACATATTAAAGAAAACTTTACATATCAGATATAAACTAAATTCGTATTATAATAATAAATAAAATTATATAAAATTAAAAATTTATTTAAAAATAATATGATATAAAAATTAACAATAAAAAACATACAAATATATTAAACTTATATATTCATACATAAAAATAATTCTAAAAATTCATATCACATCCTCAGTTTATGTACATCTGGGATGGTTTTTGCATGGAATCAGGAGTTGGGTTATGGGCGTTGAGCCTAATGATGACCTAAGGAAATTTGATAAGGTGTGTATGCCTTGAAAAAGTACAGGAGGGAGAGACTTGGCTGCATTGCGATTGTATATCGTCCAATGCATTGGTGTTGGTTTTGTCTTGCTGTAACTTTTGAAGAAGGGAACAAATTCATTCTCTTAGATTTAATCAAAGCAGGTTGATAATTAATAAAGAAAAAGAATGTTTGTTCGTTGATGGTTCAGACAAGTAGACAATTTAACATATTGTTTTAAAAGAGGCATTTTAGTATCTTTATTTATAATATTCAATGATTTTTTATTTCTACATAAGTTAGATAAACTTTATTTTCACTCTAAATCATCTAATTTTACATTTTTTTCCTCAAAATAGATAAAATATGCATACTACACCTACATCAAAATATAATTCCCAACATGTCAATAGATTAATGTTAACTAATAATTTCCCATTGATTACAAAATGATCATTTAATTTATTAGGTAAGAATGGAAAATATTGAATCAAAGAATATTTCCCAAGGTCCTTGAACATTCCCAATATCTTAAGTTTTTTTGGGTTTTATTGGTTCAAAGCAAATTGAGAACAGTACGGGAAGCCTCTTATTCAATATATTTTAGATTCAAATGTTTACTAATTTATTAGTGTGCATGTTTTTTTTTTGTCTCACGACGTAATTAGAATATTAACTTGAAAACAAAATACATTATCCCACTTAATTGCACTATTTAAGCAAAAGATATCAATCATCAAACTTAATTTATTATCTAGCTAAGTAAGATCGCTATATACGCGTGCACTCCCAAACATTCTCATGCATTCAAAGAGAAAAACAATTTAAGGACTATCTCAATTTTGGTGCCCAAATAAAGGTGGGTGAGCTGTATATATATATATTTTTGCACCGACTTGCATTTATATATATATATTTATAGTAATGTATATGTTTACAAGCTTAATTAAACAGACCATAAATAGCCAAACATAAGCTTTATTTTCCCGTAGTCATCAACAGTTCTCTTTATTTCTTCTAATCGTCTCGCTGCACGCATCCTGCATGGAAAAAGAAAACAAGGACAAAAATGCACACTCCAATTCTGTTTATCCAACCAATTACTTTTCGGTTTAATTAGGCAGGACTCTTTTACACACTTTCATGCATAAATAGATATGAATAACAAGCTTTATATCTACGTGTCTAATTAAGCAGGTGAAATCATCAAGGGCTCATTAATCTCAATTAGCATTTAATTTTTTTAAAAGATTGGTATATATTGAATCACAATTTAATTTGTCTTATTATCAAAATTATTCATTAGTAAACTTTAAAAATTATATGAAATGGATGGTTATAGTTAATTAGTAGTGTATTAAAATTATATGCCCACAATGGAGTTTTTTTAACTTTATAAGCATAAAATATTACCATTTGTCTATTTAGTTATTGCATTAATTTATTAATTTCCTTAAATATAGTCAAAGGAGACATATGGTAATTTTTTAATTCCGTCTATGAAGTTTCCAAAATATAGGATCATATAATAATTCTTTTCTTTTTGTGTATATATTTTAAGATTAGTTTTGCCTGTTATTAATTTATTTTTAGTAAAACACAAGTAATGAAAAGTATCAATCAAACCTAATTCATCTAATTTAATTGTAATAATAAACTTAAATGACAATTTTCTTCAAGACATAATTTAGATAAAGTTCTTTCAAACGAAGTTCATGAATTCTTCATAAAAAAGTGATCAAAATAAGCTTTCGAAAAAAAAATCAAAATAAAAATTAAATTTAAATATAAAAAACCAATTGATATATTGATAGAGTTTAGTAAGAAATCAATATGTAAGCAATTAATTAAAAATAATATCCGTATACAAAACTTTGATCAATTATTCTCAAACAGTAAACATTAATAAAACTCATTAAAATTATTTCAAATTTTATATATTTGAAATATTTACGAATATCTGTTAATTTATCGATTTGAATTAAAAATTTTTATTTTTATCTTTTTGCTGAGAATCTGGTCAACTTAAACTAAAAAACTCTACTTATAAATTAATCTTGTCAGTTCTTCCGTAACATAAAAAAAAAAGCATGTATAGCGAACTTACTGTTTCGCTCCTTGATAAAGCTTACTAATTAGTTATCCCTTGGAGGCGAAGCATAAACACGTCCACGTTCAGGTGACACTGGAGGGCAGTGGCGGCGAGGGTAAATTAGGCATGGTCGTGGTGGTGGTGGTGAAAGCTTTGGAGCAGGTGGTGGTGGAGCCAAGTCAGTCGGTGGAGGTGGCAATTTGGGGTGGTGCCGACACGGTGGTGGCAGGGGTCTCTCAGGTGGATAATATACATGACACACTGCCGCCATGGCATCTGGGAACAAAGTAAGACAAACAATAGCTACCAAAAGGCTAAAGGTAATTGGTTTTCCTCTTTGCCTTCCCATATTAATTTACTGCAATGCTTTTGGCTTTGTTCCTACAGTTCCAGGGCAAATCCCAGAGTCCTATATATCAGTGGTTTTAGTTACGTCAACCTCCTGGAATACTGAAAAAATCTAGGATGAAAAATAGTCAATAGTGGTGCTGCAAACTTTGCCGGTCACCAAATCCATCCACAAAGAAGGAATATTAATGGCACTAGCTATAAGTTGATATCAGTATATATGTAGTGTGAGTAATTGATTGCAAGAAATTTAAGGATTCAAATGATTTGGCCTCCATTATATACAGTTAACAAATTGATCAAAATATGAAACACCCCAACTATTTATAAATACACAGATCAATATGCATCAAATGAGATAAATAATTAATTAAATAAGAGTATTAGAACGAATAATATTATGGTAATTAATTATAATTTGATGGTTTTCGATTCTTGTGCTATATTCAAAATCGATGATTTTAGTATTTCTTTTTGGGTAAATGTTAATCAATTATATATGTTAAATAAGACTAGCACCAAACTTATTTATCGTTGTCCTTTGGCAACTCATTGTTCAAATTCTTCAAGTCTATGCAGTTGCGACCTCTGGACTTTAAATGATCGATCTTCGCTCCACAACTTACTAGCTAGTTAACACGTTTTGCGAAGCTATTGATTGAAAGCTACTTCTCTTGCTTTCCCTGAACAAGCTGTGATGTAAAGAAGGTAGTGGAGCATCCATTTCATTTACTAGTGCTCGTAACAGTAGCACTTTAAAGCAAATCATCAAGTCTTCTAGGTGTCGAGCTAAGTGCGTGATTTGACCCGTCGAAGCTTGTTTAATAAGCAGTTGTGCATGAAACACTATTTAATTTTTATAATTAGAGGATCGAGAGATTCGTATTTTATTTTTTAAATAAGATATTTTATATCAATTAATAAGTTAAATATTCGAGTGTAATAATATTCAATCTTTAATTATATAAAAAAATCATATTCTTATTTTATGTTTTATATTATTTTTTTAAAAAAAATTAATTTTACATAAATTTTTCCTGTACTTATTGTGATTTTAATTTTTTAAGTGACATCTTATGATTTCTTGTTTTTTTTTTTAAATTAGTATCTTGGTAAATATCTTTTTTTTTTCAATTAACATTTTATGGATAAGTTCTGTTCCATAAGGGATTAACTTGTTAATTTTGACTAGTAAAGTTACAAAAATATCCTTAAATATGAAGAAATAGGCTAATTTTAAATTGAGAGTATTTTAGCAATTTTATTAGACAAAATTAACAGCTTAAGAAACTTATTTATTAAATACTTTTTATGCTAATTTTAATTAAAATTAGAACTTAATTATATAAATTATTTTGTCAAACAACTTATCTATAAAAAAGAGTTTATAAAAGTAAATTTAAAAAACAATTTCAACTTAATTTTAAAAACTTTTATTTTTCACAAGAGATTAATAATAGATTTTAAGTTAAAAAAAAACCCAGCTAAAAAGGCTTTAAAAATCAAAAGAAAAAAATTGAACAACAAAATGATTTATTCTTTTTCTTTTTAAAATATTTTCCCTTTATGCTCCATTTTGCTTCCTCTCCTTCAGTGTTTCCTTTCCATTTTCTTTTCAATGATCGGGTCGATTAATCTGTATTTTTTTTACTTGTCTTCTTAAAATTATAAATCATGGAGATAATATAGAAAAAAAAAGAGAAAAATATTTGTCTATCTTATTTAAAAAATTTTAAAAACCATTGGAAGGCGTGAGCCTTTTATTATAATATATAGTTATAAAAAACCTTCAATCTCTTTAAAATCCATTTAGTATGAGGTAAGAATTCAGAACTAAATTCATAAAATGTAATTTTTAATGAGGGACGTGACCTCACTGAATCCATAA